AACTCTTTCAAAAACGACTGTTCGTTAAAGCGGCCGAAATCATAAGCCCGAGAAGTCGCCCCGCTGCCACTCTGCTCTATCATACGACTGCTCTCCGATCTCGTATAGCTTTTGACATGTATAAGGCCTTGTTCACCGGACATTGACAAGGCTCAGCCCGGTTGTGATCATTCGGGGCGACAATCTCGACAACATCGTGTCCCTAGGGTCAGCTAGCAATTCGGCAGACGTGTCCTGACAAAATTCACGACTGTCACAGGGCTGTCACTTTGCAGAGCAATGGCTCTTCGAATGGGCAACGACGACGGACGACTGGCACACTGGAGATGGGAGGGTATCAGGCAATGCGTTCTGTGACGTCTTCCATGCCTATGGAGTCTAGCACACCCTGATTGAGACCCGATAGGCGATGCGCCCAAAGGCCAATACCGTCCAAACCCCCACTCGCCACAGACTAGTAAGCTGCCTTCAGCCCTTGTCTGCCCTGTTCGAAGAGTAGAACCGGAGCATGGGTCAGCGGGACTACGTGTGAGACAATTGGCATGAATTCTGCTAACGATTACTATATGTGGCCACTCAGATACTTCCACAGGGAAATCCCTTCTACAGATTGCTGTTCTGTGTCAGTTACTCGCGTCAGCTTCATTCCATGGTCCCACGCCACCACCATCACACCGCGACCGAGCCCACAACGGCAAAATCCTGTGAACAGCACACGCTTCATCCGGTGGTTGGATACGATGGCTCTCTCATTGACGGTCAAAGATCGAGCGCAATAAGCGCAAGGCTTCACGCTCTTAGCAGTGGAGGCGGAACACAGCCGAACGAACTGACGAGAAACACTATTTGCCCTTGCTTGATCGCAATCCGTACATGCGGCCTGCAACATCTTCAGCAAAGTGCAATCACAAATTCGCCACGAGCGGCATTCCGAGCACGAACCGTGGATCTCGCGTGCCACGTCAACCGTCCTTGTCAATGCGCGTTCGCCGTTGTTGATCGCGGCAAAATGCATGCAGCGCATCATATGCAGGTCTTGCTAAGACCCAGTACCTGCTCTAGTCTTACCAACTTCTTCCACAAACGCCCCTTCACAAATGGTTCTGTGAAAAAGTGAGGCTTCGTAATTTCCGAAGTCGTAACCCTGTTTGCCGATCCGATTACGCCCTAAGCCGGGACGGCCACCACGATGTACTCCTGCCGACTGCGCGGCGTTCGGTAACACCAGTCGACACGGCATGCGTGAATGACATGAGTGAATGAGATTTTTGGAAGCAAGGCGACCAATAGAAGTTGTGGTAGAAGCTCGTGCGATTCAAGTGCCGATCCTTTGAGTTGGCGAAGCGGCCCACTTCCTCCCTTGGACTTTGCTTATTGCGGAGCCGGAGTCGTGAGCCTCACGAATGTCTTGACAGTTGGCTGGAAGCTCTCCTCTGCTCCACCCCTCGAAGGATCTCGTTTTTGTTCTGTATTGTCATCGATTCCAAGAAAGAGGACGCACATGGACAGTCTGCTTCAACTTGGATGCTGAGAAGGTCCAGCTGCATCTAAAATACTGAACGCCATGCGTCAACACTCGCCGATCTAGTTTTAAATCTTTACTACATTGTCTTCGTGTCCAGGAAAAGCTCAGACGAAAGAATACGTCCCATCAACGTTTGCCGCATACGGTCGCACTCGAGCACTCGACAAATACGTTCCGATAACCCAAAGACTGGACTGTGCAATACTATCAGACTCTTCCTAGGTACACGTACCACGATACCGATATAACGCAGGTGTCCTCAGCATGACCTTCGAGGTCACAGCTGTAACGCCTGAACGCCCCCGAACCTAGCCAGACTGCTACGACGTACTCTCCGCAAGCCCGACAACCACGCGTTGTCTATCCTATCACCTCATACACGAAAAAACCTGAACAGGCCTGCGGACTACATCAAGACAAGAACCTGCAAAGTAGGTGACCTGACGTCAACGTAGGCTCCACGGTGTTCAGCTTTTTCCTAGATTGGCGCGGTGGTTCAAAATACTTTTGATCATCCACAGGTAACATAGAGCTGCCGGTACATCATGCAAATAGCTACAGCGCGTTACCAAAACCACAATGGTGATACGTATTGTTCCTGCCCAGTTGGGCTGTGATCGTTGGGAACTTTCTTCGTAATTACACATTAATGGATTGCTAGCTGAGCAAGCCCGGGGTATCATCGTACAAGAAGAACGCCAATAGATCCGATGCAATGCCTCCTCTACGATCGCGTCCCTCCCAACCCTGGTCCAAATGGAAACGAATCAAACGTACTTACCTTCTAACAGTAGCTCCCGTTGCGACTTCTTGGGCGTTGCTGAAAGAGGTAACTTCTGTCGCATGTTCGTGCTCCGGTCGCTGAGCACAGATGTGCTTGACGAGCGCGAGTTCTTCGACCTGGAAGACTGCGGCGACACGAAGTGCTGATTCGCAGGTTCATCGCGGAACACAGGCGTGTGCCGACCGATCGTCTCTGGGCTATCGGTGTCGCGCGGATGAGCCTGCGTGATGGTCTCTGCTCTGTCATCGCGCAGGGCCTCCGCCTCAGTGACCAGTGTCCCACCAACTTCTTGATCCTGCTGACCGCGCGCGACTTCCGCCTCAATGGACAGAGCCCCGTCGCGCACAAATCCCCCATCAGCGCTCACCGTCCCACCTCTGACAACCTCCCCCTCAGCATCCAGCATCCCACCCGCAGCAACCCACTTCCTCAAATGATCCTCCCGCAACCTCTCCCCAAACCCCGTCCAACGCACCCCAACCCTCATCGGAATCCTGCCCGCCCTCTCCAAAGCATCATACCAATCTCTATGCTCCGTCCAAACCAACCTCCTTGAGCACTTACTCGTCGTCGGCGATCTCCCAATGTCAGCCACATGTTCAAACAGCATCTCCCCCTTCGCCGTCGCCGTCGGCGTATCGATATCGAGGTTATCCAGTATACTAGCTTTGATATCGCGATCGAAACACAACCACTCTACCACATTATCCCCCGTCCTGAAACCCAGCGCCGAGCCACCGAGCTGGAAGACATCAGCCAGGTAGCCGACTTCGAGACAGCCCGGGGGTATTTCATCGCCAGCCGGGACAGATTTCTTGCAGAACGGATCGTCGGATCGAAGCGCGCAGACGAAACCGTGGGATGGGCGGTTGAGCAGGGAGCGTAGCTTGGGGACTGAGATGAAGGAGGCGCGGTAGTGGTAGATTGCGATATCGTTTTTTGCAAAACGGAAGTATTGGGCTTGTTTTAGCTTGTTGCCGTTGGGTCCGGGGATGGGGTTGGGGCCGTATGTGCGTGGTTTCTTGGGCGTTATGGGTCGGGGTTGCTTGACTGGCTTGGGTTTGGAGGGTCGGGGGTGCTTGTTTGGAGTGCCTTTTGGGCGGGTCATATCTTTTGCGTTTTTTCGTTTGAGAATTTGCGGTGGTCTTTGGGCGGGAAGGGAGGGCGGATAAGGGGGGGAAGAGAGAGGAAATTTGATTGCTGGAGAGGGTCACATGTTTTGGTCATGGAGTGTTGTAGCGATGGGGATAGTGTACACGGGGATTTAGGCTACTGCCGCTAGAGAGGTGCTAGATTCAGGGTCTTGTTCATCGTGAAAGTGAAAAGAGGGAAGAGGAGCGCAGAAACTAGGTAGGCGGGGGAGAAACCGCACAGTCTTTCTTGAGCTAGCTCCCGTGATCGGGAGAGAACTAGGGCGTGAGGTCTGAGAGTTGGTCTGGCTCTCCGTCACTGCTTATCTCTAGGTTATGCGGAGTGGGCATGCTGATGTTATAGAACTTTCATCAGCTTTGGTATGTCGTGGTTCGATAAAAGCGGTGTGTATCGCGGCAGTTCAGAGGTGTGTCGCGCGTACAAAAGTGTCGCTGTAGCTTTCATACTACGTCAAGATGTGGATCTTGTTTAAACTGATGAATCGCGCTTGAATAGAGTGATACAGGCGTTGGAAGTGGGGTGTGAGAAGTTCGTAGTAGTCGTCAAGCGCCTCCGTTGGTGTCAAGACATGATATTCGCCGAATACAAGCTAGTGTACACCTCATCTGAACACCGAGGTGTCTAAATCGCCGTTAGGCCACCAACTTCGCGAGCTGTTGTCTTGATGTAGGCTCTAGGGTGTTCGGGGTTTCCCTTGAATGGGGTGTGTATAACATTTCCAACCCATTCCCATGGTCTTCCACGCTTGCCAGATCTCGCAGGTTCTTGTTGCTAGTGAAAGCAGCGTTGTCGCGTTTGTAAGTACCCCTGTCATCGTCGGGGGCGTGTAGTAATGTCTCATAGCTGATGTCTTGGTTATGAGATGAAGAAAGCGACCAAGTGATCAAAGGTTTCCCACTGGTTGTGAAAGTAGAGAGTGTTCATGGCGGGAGTGGGCCATTGCACGTTCAGCGCGACAGAAGCGGATAAGTCGGGGTTAGACCGCCTCGTTATCTACGCCCCAGCTCCCTCACTTTACCTTCAGTGAAGGAAACAGTAGGCGCTACCGAGCACTGACCTATGCTCATTGAGTGCACCGAATCTATACGTCTCTCACTTCTCAACCGTTGTTTCTTGTTTCCGCTATCCCATTGACTATTCCAAAACATGCGGATCTCGGGGCTCCTCGGGTTAGCAACCCTCATCTTTGCTGTCGCAGGCGAGGTTTGTCAAAGGTAGGTATCGTGCCTCTAGTCGAGTTGTTGTTCTGGTTGGGTCCTTCTATCAAGTACCAAATCTGTTTGATTACATGTCGCTGTAGTTGACTCAGACTCTAGTTGCCCAAACAACGACCTTCTCGCTGTCAATTTCACGATCCCGGGTGGACTTGATAAGATCCTTGTTGCCGGTGACCCCGACGACTCGGATTCACCATCAGACGTAACAGTGACTCCAGCGCCCGACGCGTATTACGAGCATTGCAAGCAAAAAGGATGCGCCCTGGAATGGTCGATGCAGCACTCCAATAGCGAGGCCGGCGCTCAATTTGCACCTCCCCGCATGACCGCACAATCTCCCTTTCAAACTCCTAAAGACCTCCGAGACTGGGGATGGCATGACGCTGCCAAGATATCGCAAGCTTACGATGACCTCAGCAGCATCTGGTGGGGAGCTGATGTGGCACTGAAGGGCCTTCAGCTTCCTTGGAAGACAGATGCCCAAGAGGGTCCCAATCGTCTCACCATTATAGTGCACCAGGACCCCACTGCAGATATCAGTGTTGATAAGCAAACTTACGAGGTCGACGGAAAAGAATACCGGGCTTCGGACGCTGATTACACTATGACTATGAATCTGCAAGATGGTGTTATCATTGCCATAAGTCGCAAAGGCCCAGATACGGCAGGCAAGGAGCGAGAGCCGCCGCTGAAACCAGAAGACATGCCAAAACTCCACCAATTCTCCGATGTTGGCTGGATAAAATGGAAGGCCATGGCCGAGGCGAATAATCTTCCTGTTAACAATCTTCGGTATTTCCTATCGCTTGGGATCGCGAACACACAGACGTTATCAGTGTGCGAGAGGATTTTCAGGGATAATAACCTAGCAATGAAGAGGTGGCCTGGAGACATGTTTCTAGCCGGCACATGGGAGTTCCGTGCTATCTTGGGTAAGTTGCACCTATCTTAGAGAGGTTCAGGTATCTCGTAGCGTATTCGAGGTTGTGTCGTCTCCATTGCAGTAGAGCATAACCCCAAGGCTCACTTGAGACCACCGTCTTATCCCGGAGGAGTATCTCGGCTAACTCATGGTCAGGAACCCCGAACGTACAAGGCTTTGGGTACATGCTGGTTCAACACAAGGCAGATCTGGGCAACATGTTCATCAGTAAAATCCATGTTTTCCTGTGCGAAAGCAACGATGTTTGCATTGTCGCATTTGTGTCCCAACCAGTGGCCGCTCCAGTGCAAGATGCAATGGTCGGATCGATAGTCATCTCGGATCAGGTCGACAGACGCGACGAAGGAAGTAACGTCATGCGTCTCCACAAGATCTTCGCGAAGCTGTGAGAGCTAGGGAGAGCGAGTCGGAATATATGGGAGGATTGAGGATAATTAGACCTTTGGCTGGTAGACAGACGCGATTCCCGGTCTTAGATCTGGATGGTCTTGGCTGCTTTGAAGGAGTGTACGGAGCTGAAGGCCTCCGCGACCTCCCTAGACTGGGGATCATGTCGCTGCCGGTCTAACCAAATAACATCGACGATTCTCACATCGAATTCCATCTCTTTTGCGGTGTCGGAGTACTCGATCCAGTCAGGCAGCTCGATCAACGCCACGTCTTGTAGCAAAAGTAAATCTGCTCAGCCGGCCAATGACAGAAGTCGTGGGCGCGTCGAGTCGGAGCGGATCCGGCAGCCGCGACGCGCGCGTGTTGTTTTGAGGGGATCCGAATGCAGGGAAGGAACTTACATATACCACCTCATGTCCCATACTGCGTCGGTCCTGAACTTGCACCACTCAACCGCAAACACTCGCCGCCGATCAAGTGTCATTGCAGAAGCCATGTCGTGCCATGACCACGCCAATACGTCAAGCGCGGGCTCGCGTCATATGACAGGCGTGCCCCGCGTTGTAGGATGAGAGCTCGCGCATGACAGCCCACGAAGGAACATCTGCCGCCAATGCGCCTGTGGGGTATTAGCCGTTGCACCGAGCGAGGTGCTGCTCGCTGGTCTGGGCCATGTTCAGCATTCCAAGATTAAAGAGAGAGAATTCCTCGGCTTTCGTTACCCCGCTAGCGACTCCGTCGACTAGAGGCTGCCGTCTGCCCTATCAGCCGAGTATCTTCGCCGCATTGCGCAATCGGGACCGCGGCCGGTAGCGAAGAAACTCCCTCTGGACTCCCTTGGATTCGTCTTTCCGAGGTTATACCACACCACCCATTCGCCATGAGGCCTGCGACTACTGCGCCCGCCGCTTTCCGCGCTGCGACGTCCATCGCACGACTCCCCCGCCCGAAGACGTGCTCCTTTGCGACGCGCTGCCTAGCTTCCCAGACTGCTGCGAGATCGGCCCAGTTTTCGAGCCCGCGACGAACATCCGCAAACAGCGCCCCAACACCAGCACCCAGCCTATACACTCGAATTGGACAGTACAGGATGGCGTCCTCGCAGGGAATCAAGAAGATCCAGGTCAAGAACCCCGTGGTCGAGCTCGACGGCGATGAGATGACCCGGATCATCTGGCAGGTCATCAAGGACAAGTTCATCCACCCATATCTTGACATCGACCTCAAGTACTATGACCTGGGCCTGCCCTACCGTGACGAGACCAACGATCAGGTGACGCTCGATGCCGCCGAGGCTATCAAGAAGTACTCTGTCGGTGTCAAGTGCGCGACCATCACCCCCGATGAGCAGCGCGTCGAGGAGTTCAAGCTCAAGAAGATGTGGCTGTCGCCAAACGGCACCATCCGCAACCACCTGTATGGCGCACACTGGAGCAAAGGGAGACACATGGCTGACAGCATACTACAGAGGAGGAACCGTTTTCCGCGCGCCCATCGTCATCCCCACCATCCCTCGTCTCGTACCCGGCTGGAAGCAGCCCATCATTATCGGCCGCCACGCTTTTGGTGACCAGTACCGCGCGAAGGACCGCGTTATCCCTGGCGAGGGCACACTCGAGATGGTCTTCACACCCAAGGGCGGCAAGCCTGAGGTCATCAAGGTCTACGACTTCCCAGCGGAGGGCGGCGTCGCGCAAACCCAGTACAACACCACCGAGTCCATCTCCGGCTTCGCACACGCTTCCTTCAAGATGGCGCTCGACAAGAAGCTGCCGCTGTACATGAGCACCAAGAATACCATCCTCAAGGCATATGACGGCAAGTTCAAGGATGTCTTCCAGGCCATCTACGACAGCCAGTACAAGAAGGAGTTCGAGGCTGCCAAGATCTGGTACGAGCACCGCCTGATTGACGATATGGTCGCCCAAATGATCAAGAGCGAGGGCGGCTACATCATTGCCATGAAGAGTGCGTATCCCTCCTACTATCATTGCGACTTCGCTGACATTCCCAGACTATGACGGAGACGTCCAATCCGATATCGTCGCCCAAGGCTTCGGCTCCCTCGGCCTCATGACCTCGACCCTCATCACCCCTGACGGCAAGACCTTCGAGGCCGAAGCCGCGCACGGTACCGTCACCCGCCATTTCCGCGAACACCAAAAGGGCAACGAGACCTCCACCAACCCCATCGCCTCCATCTACGCCTGGACACAAGGTCTGGCTAAGCGTGGCGAGCTGGACAACACACCCGAGCTCGTCGTTTTCGCCGAGCAGCTCGAGAAGGCTTGCGTGGACACTGTGGATATCGACAAGATCATGACTAAGGATCTGGCCCTTGCGTGTGGAAAGAAGGACCGGGCGTCTTGGGTCACCACCAATGAATATCTTGATGCCGTCGAGAGGAGATTAAAGTCGAGCTTGAAGGAGAAGCTATAGATGTACAGAAGTGTTGAATAGTCGCGTGGGATATTCCTTGCATCGGATCACTCGGTAACAGCGTGATACCTAGACCTGACCATGTAGACGGAGTTCTGCTTACTCTTGGGCAGGAATCGATTGTTCACAAAGTCAAGTGCGCCTGTGCATGTCCTCCTTTGCCAGTGAGGCGTGAGAGCGCGAGGCATCTTTTTTTGGCAGGGAGCTCGTGCCATGTCGTCTCCACATGTTCCCGGAGCACGTTGCTTTTGATGAACTGGGTTTACGCTAATTTCCGATGGGACCCAAATCCTCAAAAAGAAACCAGTCTCTTGCATGTCTCACGGCAGTATGCATATGCGGGACGATCTGATGTTTGTTTGTTACACAGCTGATTGCAAAACATTTGTCGCGACTGTCTTGTTGAATCTCTAAAGCTTGCATACTGTGCATTCCACTTAGCAGCTCTGTGTCGGGCTCTCTTGATCTCCTCAACAGTCGCTGGCCGTCTCACCCTAGACGGAATCACATGATGGAGGCGTTCACTGATGCTGCTCCCGGGACTAACCCGACTAAAGCCGCTAGGACCTACAGTGCGAGCCCGACCACCACGCCAGCCTCTGTACCAAATGACAACGCAGGATCTACAGCCACCATTACCACAACGTTTCCGTCGCCTAAAAAGCACGGCAGTCCCTCGACTCCCGACTCTACTCCATTGCACCGACGCTTTCTGCGAGCAGTCTCGATGCCGCCTGCGACACCGTCGCGTCCGCCCATGGAGACCCAGAAATCTTTCGAGAAGGCGCGCGACAGCCCAGTCGTAGTTCGCCATACTCCCAAGAGGACACAACCATCGCCGATGAAGCTCGAAGTTGGCCAGGGCGCGTTCTACTTCTCAATCGAACTGCCCCCCAACAAGATCACGCCAAAGAAGACCGGAACGACAAGCAAAAGCCAGACACCAAAGGGAGAAGACACGCCCACGAGGACGAGGACGCCTAGCCCGTTGAAGAAGGCGAGCCCAACGAAAGAGAATGCAGTGAGTACACCCACGAGGGCGACGCGCAGCCCGCTCAAGCGTGATGAGACGACCAAGAAGAGCCCTGCAAAACCGTTGTTTGGTACGCCTACACGGGCGAGGATGCACAAGCAAGATACGGATCCACGGACTCCTGTTCGGACAACGCCCAGCCCGCGAAAGAATCACAGCGCAGTGAAGCAGAGTCCTGCCAAAATAGCTACTGTCACTCCGAAGAGGAAAGGCTTGCTCAAGACACCTGGAAGTAATCGACCTGGAAGTCCCATCAAGCGCTCGATTGAACAAGACGACTCACCTGTAGATCCGCTCAAGACATCTGCACGCCTCGCGAGAGAACTCCTCACAGGGCCAGAGGAGACACTCCGTATGCCACCCGAACGTCTTGTGGACCTGAAGGACGAGCACGCTCCAGCAAACTTGGTCGCGACTGCCACCGACCCGACCCCGCATCATGAATCCACGAGGCAGGCGCCACCAGCGAACAAGTGCCCAGAAAACATCGGACACCTCATGGCAAGTCTTATCAGCAACACTACTAGCACGCGTGACTGGTCAACCGCCTACACCCACGACATGGTCTCTCCTATACCGACACCCCTGCGCAAGGCGTCGGAGAAGCTCAAGCTGGGAGAGTCGCCTTCTTTCCTGCGGATGTCGGCCAATGGTACGGCCACGATGGCCAATACAGACCCTCCTACCCATGTCAGCGAGACAGGGTCTTTGATTCTACATGAGCCTGCATCAGTCGACCCGGGACAGGATAAGAGTAACCAGATTGAGTCGTCGTCGTCTGGATCAACCGAGGCGGCTTTTCCCTCTTCCATTACCACAGATGATACTGCAGACGTGTCAAGCGAACCGCGACCTGCACTGCCGTTACGTGCAGCCAGTCTGGGGTCTTTCAAAACCCTGAACACGACACGCGAGGCACCAGCCCCACCACACCGCCCGCTTCTCTTCCCAAAGCGAAGGTCGGAGACCCTTCAGAAATCGCCGTCGCAGCAAGAACACCAGGTCAGGTGGCAAAATATGGAGACGGCTTCTTTGAAGCCCCTACCTGCAAGCCACCAGAGGCGAGTGGGGACTGATCCAAGCGTACTTTTGAAGATGCGAAAGGACATGGCCAATCTGGAAGCGACGATGCGCCGCTCGTCAGGCGTTGTCGACCCAACGTTTTGCGGCCCGCTCAATCTGAACGAGCTCCCTGCAATGTCGAATGACTACTTCGTTAGAGGCCAGCAAGATATCAGAAGCCCAGGTGTTGTTGGTACACCAAAAACCCTCAGTAGAGCCAACTCCGACAACCCATCGATTGCGACCGTACAAGCGAATGGAGTAAGAGGTACTAGCAACTCACTAGCACCGTTGAAGGTCTCCGGCACGCCAGGTATACCACGATTGAAATCTAGTGCTCCTACCTCAGCACAAGCAACGAGAGACCGTCTTCTCGCAGCTAAGAAGGAAACTCCTCAGCGTATGGGTGCGACTAAAACTGCGGTTCCCGAAAGATCCCGCCCTCGATCAAAGACCACAGTGTCA